ATTGAATCAATGTAGCGATTTCATTAGAAAACCAAGGCAACCCAGAAGAAGAAATGTAGAGAAAAGGCATATAAACCCTGAAAATTTACAGCTCAACAAGAAAAATTGAATCAATGTTGCGATTTCATCAGAAAACCAAGGCGACCCAGAAGATGAAACGTTGAGAAAAAGCAGATAATCGATGAAAAATTGGATAGAAAGTGGGGAATGGATGGATGAGTGATGAGAGAGAGGTACCTGGTGGGTGGAATCTTGGCCGGCGGGAAGGAACAGAGAGGAGTGAAGAGTGATCAATTACACTGCCTCACCACAGAGCAGAGACGATGATGAAGGTTAGAGAGAGAAAGAGAGAAGGGTTTAGAAAAGCAACGGTCAAAAAAAACCAGGAATGGAGGAGCAAAAAAAAAATTGATGAAAGAACAAAAACTAAAGATTCATTCACGTCGGGTAGCTCATTAAAGAAAGCTCTGAGAGAAAAAGAGAGAACACGACCTCTGCTATATATTGCCCTTTCCACTGCTCTATATTTCAATAATGCCACTGATGAATCTTTGACCAAATAAATTTGCTTGAGTTTAAAATTCGATTGAATAACCATTTTTGTTTATTTTACTTCATTTTGGTTATTTGCACTTTTAAAAATGGATTGTTTTTGGTCGTCAAGGTAAAACTATTTATTTTTTAGGCGTTCTAACCAATTGAGCTATTCTAACTATTGGTGCTACATTAACTCTCTTGACTACGTTAACTTTTGGTCCGCTTGGTAAGGTTCTCATTTCTTATTTCTCGTTCCCAATTTTTTGAGAAATCTAAACATTTTGTAACCAACTATATTTTTTGTTTCTCATTTTTTAGAAACATTCTCAAAATTGAATAGAAATTTTGAAAACAAACCAAACAAGTTTTAGCTCATCTTTCTCTACAGGAGCAACCCGCTCGATTGAAATTTGTCCTTTCAGTTATGTAACAAGGTGTCTACACAATTATGAGTTTGCTTCCATTGAGCCTCTTTGACGACACAAGCCTATAGTTTTTCCCACTAGCCATGGCTTGGCCGAACCTTTGACTTTGATACCACTTGTCATGGCGCTAAGTCCTTCAAGCTCACAAGCCACAACACCCTGCAAACCTAACGGTCCACAGTGATAGGGTAAGTGGGGCATTCGATTCTAATGATTTCTTAGATATAAAAATAGCTTAATTGAATGCTCGACTTTCTATTTCTTTTTTCATAAAATCGATATTAAAACGTCAACTTTAGGCTTTGTGAATTAAGGAGGACTCATATAATTCTCCTTCCTCGATTTTGGTTCTGTCTCCTAATTTTCTCACCTTTTTTAGGCTCGAGCCAAAGAGCTAAAGCAAAAGGTTGCAAAGCTCATGAATGGTCGTTTTCTTTTTCGTTCCTATTTCCAATTCGTTTCAAAACATAAATAAAAAGATTATTTTATTATACTTGAATTCATGGATGTTGGAACATGCAATTCGTTTTTTTATTAGAAATGAATAAACAAAAACAAGAAACCTGAAATGCAGGCCCTAATTTGATAACAATTATGCATTTGAATTTTATTGTTTTATTAATAATTTTTCTTTTTTTGTCCTATTTTTAAAGCTAAACCAAATTCAAAATTATGTTTTACAATAACTCAAAATAATAATACTAATAATAATAATAAAATAAACGACAAAATATCAAAAATTACAAGCAAATAGGTATAAATTTTAAAAGAAAAAAAAAACCTAGAAACAAAGTCCTTAACAAAATCAATCTAAAATATTATTTTTTGTGTTCTAATATTAACTTTCTTATTTTTGAAAATTCTTACCATTAATTATGCATATATTGTCCACTGATATTTTTAGTTCAACAAAACATAAGGGTGAAGATTCGAATTAGATCAAAGATATATATCTCAACTAATTGTAAAAATGATGTCACGAGTATCAAATCCTTTCAAACAAATAGAATGTCAAAATCTTCAGTGTATATATAAAGAGAATCTCTAGTATTTGTTCGAGACTTGAATATTATTTTCTAAATATATACATTTACACACACCAAAAATATATTTTTGGAGAAACATAAATAAATTTTTTAAAAAATATAATTTGTAAGTGGGGATGTAGATTCTCAATTTAATTTGAAATTGGCAAAAGAATATGCTAATCAATAACCGAAAGTGATAAAAAAGGGAGAAAAAAGAAGAAGAAGAAGGGAATTTTGTTTTTATGACCTCATTCTTTATCTTAGTGAACATATTCTTAATTTCCATCGACATTTTATAATATATATATAGATATAGATATCAAGTTTTTTTTAGTAAAGTTAGACTTTAAAAAACAATAATAATAAATTACCAAATAAATTTTAAAAAATAATAATTATAGGGAGATGATAAATTGTGTAATTTTATTTTATCCTCTAAAAACATAATAAAGTTTTCTCCATCGATTTTATTTAAAAAAAAATAATATTTAGGTGCTTAATGGTCAACACTGACAACTTTTTAATTTTCTTAAAAAATATAAAAATATATTTTTTTTGCATTTATGATTTCTCTCTTCAATTTGTCTTCAATCTGTCGTAATAATGGTAAGTAAAAAAATGTGTGCTAACCTAATAGGGAAACACTCAAGTATTTTCTTTTCTAAAATCAGATTTTCAAACAAGTCATCAAAATTTAGTGATATAAAGTTGTTACTTTTGTATTAGTACTTAAAAAATGTGAGATCGGTTTCGTCCTTAAATTAACTTTATAGTTCTTAACTTAGTATCATAAAATATTAAGACGGGCTTTCAACCGCTGGATGAGCGAGTTTTATAGTAAATTAAGACGAATTAAGTTAATTTAATTGGAAAAGAGAGGGGCAAGATTGAGAAGTACATTAATGAAAAAACATTTACAAATTGTGTGTTCTAAAAAGACAATACTTCATATGATTAAGTTAATCACCAAAAGCATCTCCTTTAGAATTTTCCAAAATCAATCATTGAAAATTTCAACTCCTCCAATTGTCCTCAAATATATAAAGAAAGATTAGGGAAGAAAAAGAAAAACTTTTTATGATCCCAATGCAAACCACAAACAAAATAACAATTTCAAAAACTATTTTTATTTTATTATTATTATTTTTTAGCTGTTGGAAAAGATTTAACTAAAACTTTTAAAAGCTGGGAACAAAACTAAAAATTAAGAATAAAATTATATTGGCTAAGTATATCTAATAGTCATAATCTTTTAAATAATTCTCAATTTGGCCATTCATTACCTTCTCAATATTATCCAATGTTTAAAAAACTATCAATTCGGTCACTGTAAAAAAAACAAATTGTTTAGAAAATTTGGTGTACCATGAAATTATTATTTTACATTAACTTATCACTTAGATGATAGCCACGCGGTTATCAGATTAGTTTAGGTGTGCATAAGTAATTTAAATTAATAAAATTTCATAATTTTTCAATTTAAATATTATTTGGTCCGGACCAGTTTTAGCTTTTATTTATTTTGATCTTTGAACTTTCAAACCGTTGTTCCTGTTCTTTCAAAATGTCCATTTTGATAATTGTGATTTCGATATATTTGTTTTGATCAATGCACTTTAAAAACGATCATTTGGTCTTTTTATTTTATTTTTCATCTTATTTTTTCCAATCACAATTTTATCGTGACTGTATTCTCAATAAATTTATTAAAGATTTTCTGTCATGTATAGAAATTCTGTTTAACTTTTGTAAATAAAAACTAAAATTGTCACTTCTGAACCAAATCAATAGATATTAAAATGAAGAGCACCAAAAATAAAATAAATTAAAGTTAACAAAACAATAAACAAAGTAATATTTAGATTAAATTTTGTCTATAGAATAGCATAATTGAGATTTGTTTTTTATAATATTAAGAATTTCAAAATATTAAAGAAGACATTTGAAAATTATTTACAAAATCTACTCCATATTATTTGAGTGTACGGTACTGTAAATTTTGCTGACAACACAAAAATCTGCTGAGATTCTGAACGATCCCCGAAGTACTCCAGTTATTCTCAGCCGTCGGATCAGGATTAGCTCCGATCAAGAAGGTCAAACAATCATCACACCGTTCGTTTGCTATCACGCCACGTGTACGGCGGGAACTCTCTGGAGGTGGTTTGTTGGTAGTTTAGGGAAAAAAGGAGGGAGAAAAAGGGAAA